AAGAGTCTTTTGGAAGATCTGGGTCTAAGAGTACGGGGACTTTGGTGAAACGGGTTTCTTCACTTTGGCCCTTTTTCTCTTTTCTTAACGACAAGGGGGTTTCTCCGTTGGATTTCATCGAAGAGCTCCTCTATGACTTCCTTAATGGGCAATAAAAGAGTGGGACGAGCCAAATCGATTATATTTTTACCCGCATCTGCACGGCCGACGCCAGAGCTAAGCAGGTAGAGGTCACAAAGCCATCCATAGGCACCTGGAGGCTCCACGTTGGGCACTATAGCTTGACCACAAGCATACGCGTCATGCACCATTTCCTGCTCCCTACGCGGAAGACGGATAAAGTTCACTTCGACAGGAAAGCCCTTGATGCGGCAGCTAGGTATGATGCTCAGGCCCAGGCCTCTCAGAGACTCGCAGATTGCATACAACAGGAACTACAGGCACCTGATGTTCCACTCGATCAAATCAATGACGCAATCCTCAGGGCATGCCGAGCGGTCTTCCCGCCTTCGGCCCAAATCGTCAGCAAAGAAAACCCGGTTATACAGCACCTGTGGCAACTACGCAGAGCTGCTAGGTACACTGTGGTCCAAGCGAGGTGAACGGGCCGTCTCTTCCAGGCATGGTTTGCAACGGTCAGGTTTCGACTTGCCGCGAAGCAAGCAAAACGCCAATGCATGCAACAAAAGAGACAGGATGTGCTTGGGCTACTCACACAAGCGGAACAGGCCGCTAATCAGGGGGACCAACGCTCCGTATACCAGGTCGTCAAGAAGCTTGCGCCATGGGCACCTAGACCAAGAGTCCTGCTCAAAGACAAAGAGGGCAGACTCCTCACCCACAAGGAGGAACACGATGCTCTGGTCAGCCACAGTCGCACGCTCTTCGCCCCGCAGCAGACGCAACCACCCAGACACGGCTTCAAACTCCCCCTTGTCTTCGCGGTCGAAGAAGTGGAGGGTCAACTCAAAGTCACGAAAGTAGGAAAAGCAGTGCCGAAAGACGTAGCTCCGGCCGCTGCATGGCGTATTGGGGCGGCGGCTATCGCCCCCCTCCTGCAACAGGCCTACCAAAAGCACGCTATCGCTGACGTCTCTCTGCCAGAAAGATGGACTGATGCGTGGATCATTTGGTTACCGAAGCCGGGGAAGGCACCATCGCAACCGGCAGCCTTACGCCCGATCGGGTTAATGAATCCCGAAGCGAAGGTGTTAGCCGCACTCGTCAAAGAGCGTCTACACGAGCACATTCGGCCCAGCTCGCATGGGTGCCGCAATTCGCATACCAACCAGGCCGCGGCCTCTACGACGCCTTAGCGCGCGTACACGAGTGGTGCATTCGCATACCAACCAGGCCGCGACCTCTACGACGCCTCAGCGAGCGTACACGAGTGGTGCACACTCTGCCGTGCTAACCTGAACAAGGTGACGCCAGGGCATTTCGCAATGCGTGACAGGGAACAAACCGAAGGTTACCAAGATCTATGCGTGGGAGTCCGTGGGAGGGGCTATCCTTAGCCTGGACCTGAAACAAGCCTTTGATAGGGTTAACAGACAGGCTTTGGACACGGCACTGCAGCGCCTGGGTGCGCCACCTGACCTGGTAGCAGCGGTGGTGGCCCTCCATGCGACCTCTTCTTACCACATCCAGGATGCCTATCACGACACAGATGTGTTATAACCACAAGACAGGGCTGCAAATTGGCACCCATGCTTTGGGTTGCCATCTCCACGGTAATTCTGTCGGAGCTCGGGGAAGCCCTCACGGGCCCCCACAGACAAGGAACAACCTTCGCTGACGACACTCTGTGTCAATGGTTAATTGAAAGCCCGCAGGACACACAGGCCCTAGCCAGATTCCTAAACAAGCTGCTGCAGGTCATGGAAGATCTAGGCCTGTTTGTGAACTTGACGAAAACATTCCTTCTTCTGAGAGTGAGAGGACCTGGGGCGAAACGTGCCCTCCGACAGCACATTGTCTATAAGGAAGGTCAAAAATGGTGGAGGGTGGACCGACCAGACGGCCCCGCACTGATCCCGTTAGCAAAATCGGTTATTTACCTGGGCACCCACCTCGCCATTGATGAGTCACACCTCTCGGTGCTTCGACGTAGGATCACAGAGGCCAAAGCGCTCGATTCCAAAACACGCAGAGCAACGCAGACTGTTTAGCCTGGGACATAGACTTATAGAGTATGGCAAGCATGCTCGGTGTCCAGCGCTACATTTGGACTAGCACCCATCGGCCTCAGCTATGCCTCTCTGCAACGATGCTGAGACAATGGTACTACAAGCGTCTTAGGGCAATAGTGAACGCGCCCGCCCATCTGACCCTAGATACGGCCCTGCGCCAAAAGTATGGCATCTCAGATCTGGTCCAGTCGACGCCTTGGCGGACAGTGTGGCACACAAGATACAGAAACTTTAACAATCGGAGCCTGACATCACCAACACTCAGCAGATTATTGCCTATTGGCAAAACATCCACAACACCATCAACGACTACACCACTTCACAGCTCCCATCACAATCATTAGTCCCGACAGGTACCACTGCACAGGGCATCCCGTGTCCGGAGTGCGGCATATACTTCACTACTTCGAAGTCATTACGTCAACACCGTGCTCTGAGGCACAAGATCTATGTGGCTGCCAGTCAGGAGGAAACCAAACAATACCAGCAGCACGAACATAGCATCAATGGTATGCCTCAGTGCAAACACTGCAACAAACAGTTTCAATCATGGGGTGCATTCAAACAACACATTCTCACCTTTGCTTGTAGACCTGAGCTGCGTCAGTCTACGAACACTGCACCCGCTAGTCCTGCACCAGAGAACAGCACAACGGCTGCTGCTGATGAGAGGACATCGCCGGCCCCCGCGAGGGAAGCCGCAGCTACGGCCCCCGCCCTAACCTTACCAAGAGAAGAGGCGGACCTGCCGCTTTTCCGTGAGTCAGCGTCCCAGCTTGCACTGCTACAGGCACCTATCCCCCTTACGAAGCTATCGGCCTGGGCCCCCAAATTGATAGCTCACCGTGGATTCTGTGGCCAGTGGATAGCAAAGCAAGGCTCGGTCAAGGAGCACATCAAGCGAATGCATCCGAGCATTTGGGACTCCGACTTGGAAGTCTTCCAGCAATGCTGCGAGGAATACCGAGATCTCATCACCAGGGACCACGACTGTGAGCTCTGCACCCAGAAGGTTCATTCCAAGGATCGACACCTTAGGAACTGTGTCGTTTTGTTTCAGACGGCCCTTGCCACCACTTGGGCACGGGCTGGCTTTCCGGAGCAACCCCAAACGACGCAGGCCAGGTGCTCGGACTTTACCACTGACAGGGTTAGCAAGCTTCTCCAGGACTCTACCACTGCAGCCGGAGCCTCAGACAAACCTCTCCTTCGATTCCTGGAAAGGCATTGCTGCATGTGTGGCCAAGAGATTGCCAATCAACAGGACTGGAGAAGACATATGAAAAAGTTCCACGAGCCGGAGTGGACACTAGCTGGAAAGGGATTGGAGGACAGAGCCTCGGCCATCGAGTTATCGCGGCCTTGCAAATTTTGCCGTGTGACCTACACGAAAACCCCGAAGCTACATACTCAGAAGTGCCTGCCCCTCCTCCAGCTCTCCTTTTTGCAGCAACATGGGCGAAGCGGATGCTCTGGCACAGGTGGCCTCGATCTGGGGAGGGTCATCGCCCCTGATGAGAGACATGGAGGTGGACCAGAACCGGGACACCCCCAACAAGTATCCCAAACCGAACGGCAAGGGAAACGGAAGACCAGGACGCAGAAGCTATGCGGAAATCAGCACGGCCCCCAGGAGAGTGCCGTATGCAGACTCCCAAATCAAGCAGCTGGCCAAAATCATGGCCAGACACGAAGCAGCTCTGCAGATGCTAGAAGCAGACCGCAGCTGGGTCCTTTTCATGGACCCGGGGTCCATAGGAAGTATCCCCCAGCTCATGGAAGCGACGAAAAATTGGCAAAAAAGCCGGCAGATCGGCACTTGCAATTGCGGTTTGAGGCAAGCCCTAATGGGCTCAATGCTGATGGAGACCGTGGCTCGGCTCCAGAAACTGAGTGCCGATCAGACGGCCCAGAAACCACTGAACCAGGCCAAACTACTTCTGACAGAGCCTCTACGCTGGCCGTACATGCAATGGAATGCAGAACTGAAGTGCCACGAGGCGACCGGGAAAGCGGCCCTCCCGCACGACCAGGCAATTGCAGCAGCTCAGCTGCTGACGGAGCACAGAGTGCAGGACGGGGTGACACACGCATTTCATGCGAGAGGAGGCCTATCAGCGGAAAGGGACAGCACCACGATCTTCAAGCTTACTTTGTTCCTGGAATGCCAGCACAAGGAGAAGATCAGGGAGGCGCTGCGTGCGCTCGAGGACTCGGCAGCCCTTCGATTGATAGGGGCAAGATTGAGATCGGAGCGAAGCCACCGGCCACTCCCCAAAGAACTGGCACAAATGCTGAAGGACGAGGATTGAGTAGCAAGAAGGGTCCATTATGACTTCAGCCTCCAAGAAGTCCAGCGCGGGCGTAACTAGTCCTTGTTTTCCAGATAGGTTCGCCCGAAGAAGCCATGGTATCCGAGTATCGGTCGTCACTACACTGCCGTGGAACATTCGAAGCCGCATGGGATCTGCGGGTAGACCTTAATTGGTCGGCGCGCTGTCATGCTGAACTGCGATGTGGAGAAGAGCTGGTTCGGAAATGCTCTTAAAGAGCAGTTGATTCGGAGCACCACTCGGGCGCAAAGGGGTGTGAACGTATATATCTTGAGACGCCCTCGTAGCTCCTGTCAGGTCGCGGCCTCAAGCTTGCCTTTACGCATTCGCATCTGCCTGCATTGTGGGGTCGAGTGCTTCGTCTTTTGGTCGTGCTGGGGCTGGGCCGTGAAAACAACAGACGTCTCAGACGCGCCACTTTGTTACAGAGATTCTTCGGGCTACACGCCCATCAAGAGCGCCACTTTGTTACAGTCATTCCTCGGGCTACACGCCCATAAAGAGCGCCATTTTGTTACAGCGAACCTCCGGGTATGACAAGCCTGACAAGCCATACCGCATAAAGTTGGTGACCAACGAAAGTGCCATGATGTGCAATGTTGGCTCAAGCCACGCTCAGAGCAGTTGTCCTAGGCAACAGCTTTCCAGTGCACAAAGAATGAGAACAGCCTTGTCTTCGCCCGTTGAGTAAAATCTCTTGATCGTGCTGCGCGTTGTCTGTGCCAAGTGTCGTTGAGCATTCGGGTGGTTGCGGTGGGTTTGTTGTTTTCACAGAAACCCAAAACTGAAACCTGAAACCCGAAACCCAAACTGAAACCCGAAACCCAAGCCCAAAACGCGAAACCCAAAACGCAAACCCGAAAGCCAAAACTGAAACCCGAAACCCAAAACCCGAAACCCGAAACCCAAAATTCAAACCCGAAACCCAAAACTGAAACCCGAAACTCAAGACTGAAACCCGAAACCCAAAACTGAAACCTGAAACCCGAGGGTTTAGGGTTTCCCAAACCGAAAACCGAGACCTAAACCCCAAACCTAAACCCCAAGCCTGAGTGAGAGAGAGAGAGAGAGAGACAAAGAGATGGGTGACGAGGTGATGCGTTGTTGTGTGAGCAACCCCTACGGGGGCCGGCGCCGGGGTAACAACGGAGCTTCGGCCAAGGATTTCAGCCGGCTGAAATCCTTGGGTCCAGCTTTTTCCCTGGACTTAGTCGAAACCCTTCTTCACAGGATTTCAGCCGGCTGAAATCCTTCCAAACCCGGGTCGAGGGGGTTGACCTCAGCAAGCAACCCGGATGTATATGTACTCGCAGATTTTTACATGACGAGCTGCGTGCCATTGATGACCAGGGGTCAGAGTCCGGCAGCGACCTTTTCGGCTTGGCCAAGGGCGTGGCTGCAGAGGCAAAGCTCTTTAAACTTTGAGGTGTGAAGGCTTCGAACCGTGACTGTATGAAGAGGAGTGCGTTAGCACTGTAAGATTTGTGGTAATTCGACGAATCCCGGAAGAGGGCTTGAGAAGCTGGGTTGCATTCATTTTTGTGTCGATCTCCCCATTCTGCTTTGCAGGTTTCCAAATCCGGCGTTGAGTCGGTGTCTGCGGGCCGCGGCACAGGACCAAGTTTCGCAATGCTGTGCATCTGCGGCAGTTTTCAATCGGTGAACCCAATGCCATCTAACCCATGGCAATGTTGAGCTCGCATGTGGGAATGATCCAGTCAGGTCAAAACGCCTAGATTGCTCGTTTACTTGTCAAAAGCTGTACTTTGTGCATAGATACGGATTGTTGCTGTGGGGCATTCGAATGTCCATGAAGGCGGCGTGCGTGACCTCTTCGCGCCGGTGCGTGTTGCCTGCCAAGATTAGCAGCAGCCGATTCGATCAGGAAAGAGTTGCATCATGTTGCATCATACACCGCGAGCAGTTGCGCAAGTGTCGCAACGACCCAGGTCACGGCTGCGCCTGCCGAAGACTCGGAGGCTGGCTCTGACCTTCTGGCCGCAGCGCGGACTGCAGCCGACGCGGCCCGCGGGCCAAGGGATCCGGGATCATTGGGTTGAAATCTGATATGATTTGAGATGCAGATGCATTCACAAACGCCGGGAACCAGTAGTGCATCGGTTCTCGGGCGGTCGTGTTGCCATGGGCTTCTTGCATTGCATTGCAGGTCTCGTCTGGAGTCGCCAGCAGTGCAGTCTCCGCGGCGTAGCTGGGCAGCAGCCAAACAATGCTCCGACTGAAGCCCTCTTTTCACTGCGGCGCGCCAGGAACGGTCGCCTTGGCGACCTCTTCGCCCCCAGCCAGGACCAGCATGTCAATGTCGGTCGTGCAAGCGATGGCCACACACCCCAGTTCATGAATAGCTGCTACTAGCACTTGTAACAAGACATCACCACGGCACACATGACACTCTGTACCAGAGCCCAGCGGCTGCAGGCGTCGAGAGGAAAGGCCCCAGCAGTCCCCCCGAAGCCCAGCGAGGCAATGGCTCGCATGCCGGCTTCGCTGCGCGTACTTTTCCTGTCCATCAGGGCTCTGAATCCGGCAGCGACCTCCTGGGCTTCGCCAAGGGTGCTGCTGCGGAGGTCCTTTCTGAACTGCCTCATTGCCCGAATTTGTCGGCAACACCGTAAGATGTGTCTGATGCCCGGAATGCATTGAGGCTGTGCATAAAGACATAAACCATGAGACATGGCAGGTCTCCCGTTCTGGTGTCCAGTCGGCAACATCCGGGCCCGGTGGAGGTCTCGCTCGCTCTCGCTCTCGCTCTCGCTCTCGCTCTCTCTCTCTATCTCTGTGGTGTGATTGCATGGTGCATCATGGTGGATCGAGGTATGTGTGTCTTCGGTCTGACAGCCCTTGCATTGGAGGTGGCATGCGCCACTTGTTTGTGCCACCGGCGCGATCGCGGGCTGCAGCCGCCTCAGGGCGAATTCCGCAT